GGTTACTACAACCGAATCGCGCGTTTCTTTAAACGCGAGACTATTTCGTTCCCTCGAACGCGCCTTCAGTACTTTCAATTACCGATAACGGGGGGCGGGAGGGGGGAGGGGAGGGATATTTTTCTGCAATATATCGTATCTTATCGAGAACAAAGAGCTAATTGTTTTTGCTAAATGTATTATTTGTGTTCATGTCGCACGGCCAGGGAAGAAGACGAGCACAAAGGATATTAAGATTAAATATATGAGTATCTCTCTTCTTGTTCCTTTTCATTCAAATTTATCTACAGGCTTTCATTTCTGAATATCGTTTGCTCGTTTCTGCTACTAGCTCGACAAGCTTTCTAATACGCTATCTACCCAAGGGACGATAAAATATTGGAAATCGTTGTGATAATCGTGACGATACGTCGCGCACACCCTGCACCCTGAGTTGTTTTATCGATACAAAATATGTGTTACTCGCCACGATTTCGAAGTAAACGAACGTCCTTGTTCAGATAAAAACGTATTATCTTCAATCGTTATTTATGTACACAAGGATCGTACGATGGGAAGATTGCCGCGAGGAAAAAAAAGGAAAAAGATGCGAGGAGTGCCTCGTGTGCCTCTGATCTGAATTGATGACCCTGTGATCAAAATAATTCCACGAACCAAGGGAAATCGAAGGAACGATTGAGCAACGAGTTGTTCCCTTTTTTTTTTTTTTTTTTTTTTTTTAGGTCTGCTATGGATCGGTCTACTAACGTTGACGATCTCATGGAGCCAGGCATCAAGCGACATCAACTGCTGTTCGGATGGTTTTATATGGTTGCCCACGCTGAACTGTTCTGATGGTGGTTCGATTAAGCTCGCATGCTCGTCCGGTTGGTATCTGATCGACCCCGAGGTAGACACCGAGGACAAATTCTTCGTGAGGCAGGAATACGAGAAAACATGGCTACAACTGTCGGACACAAATCCCATAAATATAACGGCGGATAGGTAAACGACATTATTCCTAATAGACTTTCTAATAGAAGTATTCCTCCTCAAGTGGAATTTCGTTGAGTCGCAGAGGACCATGACCGTGACGAAAGCAAATTGAGGATTGAGGATAAATTCGTGTGTGATCAACATTATATTATATTATTAGTATTTCTCTATCGAGAAACTTTGTCCTCTATCCTAGCTTTGGAATATAAAAAAAAAAAAAAAAGAAAGATGTTTAGCGCTTAAAAGTATGTTGAACTGCTGACAGATTTTGCGTGGCAAAGCGGGAAACGGGTTCGGAGGTCGCTCTGTTGTGCTTCGTCGACGAATACAGCACGTACAATGGCACATGGAAGAATGTATTGTTCTGCGCCCTCAGTATCATATCGGCTATATTCTTGATCGCCACGCTGGCTATCTACATTCTACTACCAGAATTAAGGGAGGTTCAAGATAAAGCGATGATGGCCGTAGTCACGTCATTGGCAGTCAGTTACATCATCCTTTCCATTCAGATTTTGAGGCCATCAAACGAGGAAGATTATCATATATGCGTCTTCCTAGGTACTAGATAATCCTAGCGATCGTTTCCCATTGCCATTCAAAATTAATCGTTCGTTTTGTTCTTCCAGGATTCGTCTTATATCTCGGCTTTATGTCTGTTTTCTTCTGGCTGAACATCGTCTCGTTCAACGTGTGGAGAACAGTTTGGTAAGCCGATTGAAAACATCTAAAGCCTCGTCCCATATTCATATTCGTATTTGATTGTTTCGTTATGTTTGAAGGTTCCAAGACTTTATAATTAAAGATAAATCACTTTTCATCGTCTATTCTATTATCGGTTGGGGTGGACCGTTGTGCTTCTTGATTGCGACATTGGTCACTCACCACGCAGAGGGGGAACATCTGAAACCCGGTTTCGGAGAGCAAAGCTGTTGGTTCAGCGGTATTTCTAAAAAAAGCTTAACGATCCTTTAACGACATTAATGTCGTCGCTCGGTAACGACTATCGTCTATTATGCTTTTACAGGCAATGAACAAACATGGGCGTATTTTTACGGGCCGATCGCTATTTTATTGGCGTTGAACGTTATCTATCTTGGCTTAACTGGCTGGCGATTGTGGCATCAGTATCGCGATTACAATGGAAGCAAATTACGAGCGCTGCGTTTTAAATGCCTGCTTTACGTCAAACTGATATTCGTCATGGGTGTGACATGGATCTTTGAAGTGCTGTCGTATGCCGATCACACGAAACACGATTTCTGGTAATAATTCCTCCGTCAAACGGAAATGTGAATCACACAAACCGTCGAAGAAATTCATTTTCTTGCTGAAGAATTGCCAGTCAGCACACGTTAGTCAATCAGCTTGATTACATAATATTGATTTTCCATTGCAATTTAGGATGCCGATGGACATACTGAACGCGTTGCAAGGCTTTATAATATTCCTTCTGTTGGTCGCGATGCGAAAGCGAGTCAGGAAGCTGCTGGCAAAGAAGAAACCTTGCGGAATCAACTTCCCGAAGTCTTGGACGGTCTACGAGGACGAAGAGTGCGAGGAGGTGCTACCTGAAGAAGTCGAATTATCACAACATGACTAATGTGTTTACGAGAACAATTCTATTTTTTTCCCCACCTCTCTTCGTGGCGTCAATACCTGACGTAATGGGACACATAACTTCTTATTATGTATCTATACGTTCGATTAGTCGAAGGTAATCACGGGTAATGACAAAGAATTATTCCTTATATTTAAGCAACAGAATCGTACAAAAGCCGCGTAGAATTTAATACTCTATATAACGAATGCGTGAGAGAAACGTTTATGTCGTGATTAATTGATTAAGAATCTCTAGAAAGTGTTGTCAGGTAAACAAGTAACGCGTTAATTGCCACGTCAATTACTGTGTATCTATTGATTGCGATTTTTCTACCGATCTGCTAGATTAGCTAAAGAAAATCATCGGCATTGCACTTCATGCCTGCGTGAAAACACCCCAACAATTTTTTGTAAGAATTTTATCGTTCGCTCCGCAGACGTTCGGTATCAAACTTTCTCATTCTAGTCGACTGACGCGGCACTTCCGAGATGATAACTCACTTTAAATTACGTGTACTTCTGACGTCTTTAAGCCATTAAAAACTTGTTAGTCGGTATCACATATCGTAAACGTTAGAAACACCACGTATACATTGGAACATTAGAAATATTTATTATTCGAAACTGGCTGAGAAGGATATCATTTCGCCATCTTAACGAACGAGATCCAGGTATTCGCTAGTTGAAATGAATATGAAGAAAAGAGAATCAATAAAAACGAAGAAGTCAATTTAAGTATGAATAAATAAGCGCCCCGTTGCAATGAAAAAAATCTGGCTAATTTTAATACTGATTTGTACGAATTCCATATTTTTTTATATAACATAGAATTGAAAATTTTCGAAAAGAAGAAGAAAGAAAGAAAAGAAAATTTATCAAGAGAGAAATCTACGGTGTGTGAGAAGGTGCAGCGTAGAAACTAGATCATCGTTGCGCTGCGCCGCACTGAAACGATCGTATTCTTCTCGTTGCGTGAAACTATTAGGATGATTAAACAAAGCAATGTGCGCGAGTAATCAAGTAGTCTGTTGTACAGAGACGCGATAAACGAGGATGGTGCAAAAGAACGACGACATATATTGACTGGTTACCCACACGTTGCTATGAGTAATGTTCTACTATCGACGATGCCAAGATGAGAATTGCATTTGCATTGCGTGACACACACACACATACACGCGCGCGCATAAAATATGACGCTTTGCACGCGAACGGATCAATATTTTAGTAAGGCAAAGATTGATGCTCCAATGAGAAAGAAAATGCGAATCTTTCTATGCCTCAGCAATGGCACAAGACGATTCTTTGAACTTTAAGTTCGGACTACATTAGAATATGTTTTTTAATTTCTTAATTTATATAGGATACAATACAATACGGTAACAGAATAATTTAGATTCTAATTTGAATGAGCATCATCCACTTCCAGCTGTTTCTTTTTTAAACTCGTTATTTTACAGTTTGTAAAACAAGTGTGATAAGTTGCTTTGTAAGAAAAAATAAACGTGTCAAGTGATAAAATAAGTTATATCGTTATCATCAAATAAACACATTATTGTGTGATATGTGGTACGTAGCCAATTGCTCATGTTGAAGGAAATTTCTTATTCTCGCTTGTACATAAATTGAATCGATCAAAAAAAAAGAATCTTTTCAAGTTAACCACTTCTTTGCGACGCTAATGATAGAAATCTAAAATTTTATTATACATCTTCTTATAAACGAGACTTGTAAACTAAATCGAAAACTAAAATACAAAACTGAAGAAATGCTTGATAGTGCCAAGGACGGAACGATTGTGCAATATAAAACGAGACACGTGTGCGTGAAGCGGCCTCTTACACGACGAAATTTACCTAGGCCAGGTCTCGGTCTCGGTGTGATATTCATAAATAGCAGCTTTGAAACATCATTGCAATTACTATGTGTGTTCAGTTCGCACGAGAGAGATGTCTCGAGTAGCCTCATGTAGAGCAGTCGATTCCTGCATCTCATGCAGGAATCGCAAACAAACAAATGACAAAAAAACGTCAACTAACTGTGCAAGTAATACCATTGCACGAATGTCGATAGGCGCGCTAAGAACCACTGTGTTACATGCGTGTGTTGAGGGCATGGCATTAGTAATCAGAGAACCGTCACGTAAATTGAATTAACGCGAAAATACGAGTAAAATACGAGAGGAGACAGCGAAGCCCAAGTGCAAAGTGAACGAGAAAGGTAAAGATGAGTAGCCGGGAGAGGGAAGAGGGGAGGGAAGTGAGAAAGAGAAGGAAGCGAGAAAGAGAAAAAGAGAGTAAGCAAGCCAGCGTGCGAGCAAACGAACGAAAGAGAAAGAGAGAGAAAGAGAGGAAGATGACAGAGCAATGGCGGCGAGCATGGCAGGGGTAGATCTCGCTAGGCGGGTAACCACCGCAGGCGGCATTGTCAGGTATGGCGATGAACACACGAGAAGTCCGTCATCGTTACGTTGAACGATGAACGAGTGAGTAAGAACGCTACAGGGCCAGGTAATATCGAGGCAGACCTCGAGAAAGATCGATTTAGGAGCCAAAGTAAAGGCTGAAAGTTGGCTAACGAACGAACAAAAGGGAACCAATGCACGAGAAACAAAGGTACGAGTGTGTAGGAAGTGCCGATTCGATGACATGTATTATCCCGCGAGTGCGTTGCTTATCATTATCGGTACACTGGGGAATTATCCCCTTCCCGCGAATGCTACTGACGGCAGCGCAAATCTAATCAGCGTGGCCAAGTGTTGCGAGCAGAACGAGCTCCTTGTCGACGACACGTGCACGCCATTGACGGAAACGAACGAGACAGAGTGGAAGCCGGAATTCGTCGAGGAGAAGGTCAACGGTATATCGAGGAACAGGCCGGCTCAACCGGACTATCAATTGAAGATCGGTAGGCCGAAATGTCAGTCCGACGAGCATCAATGGAACGTATATCATTATCGATCCGGCGAGGATCGTCTCGCGATATTAACAACTGGCGTATTAAGGCACTACACCACCGACTTGACAAAGGGAAGCCAGGAGTACAATGGTGTGTTTAAATTCGACGATGCAGATCCGACGATGGACGAGGATGATCTCGATACGATTTCCATTCATTATGATTACCCGTTCGGACATTACTGCGCTGACAAAGCAATTTTGAGCAGGGATCGGCTGGTGGCAACGTACGCAATGATCTGTGTACCCGACGTGGTTGTCAAATGGTCCGACACGAATTATTTGATGAAACACGCGATTGACCCTACCTTCCACGCAATATCAATAGCCAGTTACCTGGTTGTCGCGGTTGTCTATTTTGTTCTACCGCAGCTGCGTGATCTTGTGGGAAACATGATAACTAGCATGACTCTGTGCCTTATAGCCGGTCAATCTGCGTCTACGGTCCGCATCTTTACGGAATTCGGCAATCACGTCAGTTTTATGATTGCCGGTACGAAACACGTAAAAAATATAAAAAATACAAAAGATACAAAAATTTCAATTGCATTTAAAATACTTTCAATTGAAAATGTTTAATTTCTTATGGAAATACCTATTTTCCTCTTCTTTTTTCAGATACAGTCATGTACGTCTCCTTGTTAGCTGCATTCTTCTGGCTGAATGCTTTGGGTTATTACGTGTGGAATACTTTTCGTTCGCGAAATGTATTTCTAAGAGTAACCGACGGCAGGAAATATTGTTACTACTCTACGTACGTTTGGGGCTCGACGATTTGCATAGCGGGTACTGCGATTTTTGCCCATTTTGCTTTAGAGACTAACAAGCCTGTCGTTGGCGGAATGGTATATCCACCTCAGGAAACGATCGGTTGGCTAGGGATTTCCGTGCTATTTACGTCGATCGCATTTACAATAATGATCGACTTATCCTTTGCACTAACAACCGCCAACAGAATTAAACGAATGAGCACGTACGGTCGAATTCATCATAAAATGAAATACAGCTTTAGAATGTTTGTTTTCTTGTTTACGATAATGAGTATCGGTTGGCTGTCGCTTTTGCTATCGCAGCTGAATTACAAGGCATTAGAGTATTGTCATGTCGTCATTAATTTACTGCAAGCGATTCTAATACTATACGTTTGCGTATTTGGACAGAGAAGAGTTACATTTTTGCTTGGTAAAACGTGCAATTGCTGTAATTCAGGGGAAAACATCGAGGGTCTTGACTGGGGCGAAGAAATGACTGCTATCAACGCGGGATATTAAAGAATTATTAAATCGTACAGTTCATTATGAAATTCGATCTCAGAAGGTAATTGAAGTTAATTTATTGTATTCTGCACATTTGATTGAACATATCAAGTGAGAAGCACATTTATAACATTGCTTTATCATAAATGTATGACAAGGAACGTATTAAGAAATGCACGACTTATCAAGGCAAAAATCTTCATAAATAGTAAGTCAACACATTGTACATAATGATATCTACAAACATTCATAAAACTATTCGTTTTAGGAAAATATGAAATATGTATCACTGTTGATAATTTCATTATTTTTATCATGCAAATCTAAATTTATCAATACTAATTGTATATTTAGCTATTTTGAAACATTTGAAATTTATAATCATGAGTGCCTTGGAAGAAAACTTCTTACAAAAATTACTATGCCTTACAAAAATGTGCACTTATCTGTACAAAATATTCAATTAATTTATCGCAATGAATATAGACAAATATTATCATTACAACTATCATTTTTTATAAAAATATTTTGTTCTAAGAAATCTTTTACTTCTAAGAATTTTTTACTTTTAATTAAAATATAATATTTATATTTGTATAAATACATGACTTTTGTAAATGGTATATCATTTTTATAAAATAAATATATGTTTTCAAACATATTACATTTTCCTATTATTTAATTCAAAAAAAAATTTAAGAAAAAACTCACCTGGCCAAACAATTCACCTTCCGAGCGATGTAATAAATTGGATAGCTGGCACCTTACTACCAAATGACAATCGTCCATAACGGTATTGAAGAAACGTCTAGTTGGTAATAGAGCTTCTAAATCTATTACCAGCTCCAAAAATCTCTCACAATATCGTACCTTATCTGGTAAAAGTGGTCCTATTGAAAAATAAATACCAAGTTATAATATTATACTGTAAAAATATTTTCAAACCATGCAAAATAGTCTAGATTTTTATTTTAATTTACCTTTTTCTAATATTGTTTCCAATATTGTCATAAACTTTATCATCAATTTGTGTAAAAATTTACGTTCCCATTCTAACTTCTCTTTGCATTCAGGATTATCTTTTTTCCTTATGACTTTCCAGTACTTTCTCCACTTTGGATATTTTCTAAATTCCAATTCTCTACGACCTTGTTGCAATGAAATCCACATAGACAATGACACAAGTCTTTTCACTTCTTCCCTAACTAGTAATACTTCCATGGAATTGAAACAATGATTTAAGAAAACAATCAATGCTGTTTGTTCCTTCAAATCAAAGTCCATTATACTCTCCTCAAGGCATGCCTCTAAAACATTTTGAAAAAACTCAGGAAAATGTTCAGGACTTTTTTCAAATGCCTCCCAAACTTGAACCCTTTCTCGAAATTTTTCATTAACCATGACAACAATGGACATGGTGTGAGCACGAGTTGCAGTTTTTGCATTGTAATTTGGCCATAGGAAGTTTTCTAGATATTGGCTGAATTCTAACATCATGATTCTTCGAATAGAGAATTTAGACGCACATATTTCTTGGACATAAATATCTTCTACTATTTGAGAACTAAATGAAAGATGTGAATCCATTGTATGCGGCGCCCAATATTTATTTGCAAGCTGTAATTGTTTATTGTTTATTAAAATAGGTATGTAAACATATTTTTTTATAATAAAGAAATAATACGTATAATTCATTATTATGTAATGAAATAGATTAGCAAATAAATACCTGTGTTATACGATCAGCATTTATCTGCTCCACTGTGGGAGCAGGATTATTGCTTTTAATTGTCATTCCGTTTTGATTTTCCATGTTATACTGTTGATTCAACCGATGTTAAGGTTAAGATTAAGGTTAAAAATTAACCGACGTTATTCATTGTAACAAGTAACATGTACTTATATATATGGTATATAATAGCCATACACAATCACATGTACCATTTATTTCATTTTCTTTCTAAATAAATCTGTACTTACTACAATTATTCACTTTACCAACAGCTATCAAACATGCGTAATTTTACGCCTGTAATTTTTATATTTTCATAGAATACAGTTCTACGGTTGTTCATTGGCTGAGACAAAGCTCCAATCATTACTGTCGATTAAAGTTAAAGAGTAAGTTCAAAAGTAGAAAGTCAAATGCGATTGGTACTTACATTTGCAATTGTTAAGTCATCATTATTACAATATCATTTACATTTGTTGATAAATTAGTAATTTTATAATCATATATTAAAGTTGTAAAACAAGCCAGTGGAGGTTAGTTATGTTTCTTCTCTTTTCTACTCATCCTATTTCACTATATTTTTCTTTCTCTGATGAATGAACGGTCATTTCCTTGTGAAAGTCAGGTCACTTCCTTGTGCAAAATCCAAAACGATTTTAACAACAAAACAACAAAGTTTTTATTGAAAAAATCATAATAATGTCAAATTCCAGAAAAGTTAAAGCAAGACGTGATAGTGATTCAGTAAATATTAATCCCAAAAGAATGAAATTAGAAGACGAAGACGATTTAGATAAAGAAAACGATAGTATAGTTACAAGTGATGTATCACTTGAAAATGTTTCTCAACAATTGTTATCATTGGAACAGAATTTGGTTATTGAAGTAGGAAAAATTACATTCCGTTCACCGGTAGAATATGTTTATAATCCTCTTGAGTATGCATTTAATATACACACTATGTATGTAGAGAAGTATTGTAAGACTGCTAAGAAAATATTATTTCTTGGAATGAATCCTGGTCCTTGGGGTATGGTCCAAACTGGTGTTCCATTTGGAGAGATAAATATGGTTCGCGATTGGCTAAAAATTTCAGGACCAGTTGGAAAACCAGCCAAAGAACAACCAAGTAGGAAAGTAACTGGATTTCAATGTACCCGTAGCGAAGTCAGTGGAAAGAGATTATGGGGTCTCTTTCAAGAATTATGCAAAAGTCCAGAAAAATTCTTTAAGCACGCATATGTACATAACTATTGTCCTATTGCGTTAATGAATAAAAGAGGCTGTAATATTACACCAGCAGAACTGAAGGCAATATACCTAGCTTTTATTTATAATTATACTTATACACATAAATCTCTTATTTGTTTTTTTAGGGACCAGAGGTAGAAACATTACATGCTGCTTGCGATAAAGCTTTGGAAAAAATTATCAATATTTTAAAAGTTGGAATTGTGATTGGCATTGGTGGATATGCAGGAAAACGAGCGCAATTAGTAGTTCAAGCTTCAAAATTACCTGTGAAGGTAATCATTAAAGTTTTATTTATAAAATATTTATAAAATAAATATAAAATAAATATTTAAAGTATATTCAACTTTTTAATATTTTTAGGTTTTATGCTTACCTCATCCAAGTCCACGTGCTGTGAATAATAAAAATTGGAGTGAAAAAGCAACACAAAAGTTGAGTGAGTTTGGATTACTTAAATATTTTACAGTTTAAAATATCTTGACAAGAAAAACTTTTTATTTTTCATGAGTTTTTAACAAATTTATGTTACCTTACTGTAGAATTTATATTAGTTATATTACTTTACAAATATCTGTAACTATCATTTTATAATCTACTATATATATATGTGTGTGTATGTATGTGTGTTTGTATTTTTATAAAAATTTGTTAAGTTAAAGTTATTATAATACAAAAGAAGTACAATGGATATTTTAAGTTGGATGGATGTTGCTTTACAAAAGGCAAATGATTCATTAAAAGTTGGTGAAGTTCCAGTTGGATGTTTATTTGTATACAACAGTGATGTCATTGCTGTAGGTAATAACACAGTTAATGAAACTCGCAATGCAACTCGACATGCAGAAATCAATTGTATAGATCAAGTTTTAGAATTTTGTAAGACAAGAAACTTGGACTATAAAAGTGTTTTTTATGATATTGATGTTATTGTTACTGTAGAACCATGTATAATGTGCATGTCTGCATTATGTCAATTGCAGGTACATAGTGTTATATATGGTTGTAAAAATGATCGTTTTGGTGGATGTATTAGTGTTTTTGAAGTACCAAAACTTTATAATTCAAGAACAAAAATAATAGGTAGTACCAGAGATAATGAAGCAATGATATTATTAAAAGAATTTTATAAAGGTACAAATCCAAATGCACCTGAATCAAAAATGAAAAAGAATCGTAAAAAGAAAGAAACATAAATGTTAAAAATATGAAAATTTAATAATTTTATTTTGCCATTTAACTAATAAATCAAAAAACAAATTTTAGTTTTTATTGATACAAAATATGATATGTCAGTAATTATATAGTTAATTATTTAAGTTATTTTATGTACATGCATTGTATAAATTAATAAATTCTAAAAATATGTGATTGTCAACACCATGAATGATCTAATTCACACTTGCCTTGGTACCATCTGACAAGTAACTGATTTTTTAATGTGTAATCTTTCAATACCATATTCTTTGTCTGAAAATAATAATAATTTAATTTAATTAATATTAAATAAAATGAATATTTAAAAGAAAACTTACTATAGGAGGTGGAAAGATTCTTTGAAAATCCATTTTATTCTGATGTTCTAAGTAACTTTGAGACAACATCAGTTTAATTTCAGGTGTAAAACAAGGACTACATAGCTGACATTCTACACGAAAACAATCATCACATTTTATACAAAATTCTGGCAAAACCATAATATTCTTGTCAGCTACTTCCATTTCTTCTTCCATTCTGTTCCTAAAAATATAAATATATTAGTTTAAATTGTAATAATGTATACTTTGAATTTTTAGTTTAATTGTAATATAAAATTTATAAGACCTTGGTTTTAAAGAATTTCTCCTCATTCTTTGTCCTATGCCAACTAAGGAAAATAAATTAAATATGACTTGCTCATAAAGTAATTGGTTTGGCGGATAATGCGCTGAGGATAAATTTGGAGACATATTTGCTTCCATGATGTAAATATTTAAATCTTCATCAAGAGCAAAATCAATTCTGATCAATTCGAAAAAATTTCTACCATTTCCAAAACGTTTTACAGCTTCTTTAATATAATTCTCTTTTGATAAGGTAATCTCTCTTATTACTTCGTGTACACCATTCCAAACTTTTTTTGGATTTTTTCCTTGTGAACGTATATATGCGTCAAACGAGTCTTTCATTGAAAATTTCAATTTACTATAATAGTGCTTCAAAGATGGGACATTCCAAATTGGCAAATAGTCATCGCCAACTACGTATTTGTCTAAAACTTCAGAATCAAATGGATAATATTTCACAGGACAAAATCTAAAGAGAACATCACCTTTGTATACATATACTCTAAGAGGATCGACGGATGTGATCACAGTGTATACACCAATATCAAATTTGTACCCATCTACAAGAAATGGTCGCTGTATAAATTCTTGTACGAAAGATCCAGTTTCTGTAATATTTATGTCGCTCACGTTTTTTATACTGATACCACGATGATCATTCGATTTTTGTACAAATATCTTCTCGGGATGTTGATTAGCATATAGCAAAAATGCGTTGTTTTGTTCTGGTATTTTAAATGCTGGTAAAATATAGCGGCCTTCAGTCGTTGATAAGTCTGCCTTATTCGTAATATATCCACAGCCGGGAAAATGATTAATGCGCTGATAAGATTTTAATTCCTTTAAAGTAGAACTTAAAGTTCTAAATGGATAGTCATGCGCCCATAATAAATCCCAATTAAATGCATCGTTGGTTTGTTTAAATCCCAAACGTTCCAATACAAGAAATATGTGTTTTAAATATTCAGTATCGTTACTTCTCGCATATACTCGATATAATGGATTCTTTTCCTCCATTTCTCCCATTCTTAATTGTACATTTATTAAGTTCTTTTGATAATATAAAAAGGATAAAAAAAAACAATATAAAATTATTGGAACTATTACAGAATATAAGAACATCTTGAAAATTGTTTTAAGTTTTAAATTCATTATTTGAGTATACATTGTACATTGATCAGTATTCTGTAAAAGTTTCTAAGCTGATTATTTCAATTTATTAAAATAATTGAAATAATTATGCAACTACCAAAGAAGTTTACAAACCTGTTTATTAGACATGGTTGAACATATAATTTCAATATTATTTGTTAACAATAGTAAAAGAACAGTATATTTATGCTTACACCACTGTATCGTAGTCCGATGTAAGTACCGTTGTAATTTTCTTCGCTATACCACCTGTCTCTTAATGAAAGCATAGTTTCTTAGAACCGGTTTTTATACGTAAATCTCGTATTGTATTCTGTTTTATAAAATGTTTTACATTTTGTAAATAATTTAAAATGAAATAAATCATGAAAAAAAGAATTATTTTTCAATAATAAAGGTTTTTCAGTTAAAAATTATAGTACTATTTTTCCCTAAAACTAAATTTGATCAGTTAATGAGAATACGCTCTACGTATATAAAGAAAGTTACCTCGGCGTAATGTAGATAGCGAGAGTTTTCGCAGTAACGAGTTAGCAAAACATTTTTCTATTACCAAATTGTATATCTGTTATTTATGGCATACATACTATATATTTTCTATATAAAAACAAAAGTGTATTATAATAATAAACAGTTTTCTTTTAATATTATGAGATGTTTATATTGAAAAATTTTTTAAACACTGGCGGGAAAAATTAGAGTACGCTAGTGTAGTATTGCAATGTAGTATTGCGCCTGAACGCAATTTCTCGACATTTCTGTCTTTTCGATTCGTGAGTCGTCAAGTGCATTTCTGTAAAAAGAGAAATGGGTTTTCAAAATATTTGGTATTCACATCCACGAAAGTATGGGCAAGGATCTAGATCCTGGTCAGTATTACTATACTTTATTATATTTTTGTCTGTAGACAAATGAATTTATATCATAAAATAACAAAGAATGTATTCCACCGCGTGTCAACATTTATTTTTTCAAAACAAAACTATATTCTTTCAATTTTTAGTATAAATTATTTGAAAGTACCAATTATTATATTATCATTATAGTTCAAAAGATAAATTATTTTAATTAGAAAAATTATTTTCATTTTTCAATTATAACCTCAATGCAATGTGTATTGTGCATAATATACTAGGAATTTATTTATATAAATAATCATGTTACATTACTTCACAGACTAGCATTTATTTATATGAATAATCGTTACTTTACAGCCGTGCTTGTGCAAATAGACACGGATTGATTCGCAAATATGGTTTAAATATTTGTCGACAATGCTTTAGAGAATATGCTGCTGATATTGGTTTCAAAAAGGTATAAAATTTGAGCTGTTTTACGAATATATTTACGAATATAATTACGAATATATTTCCAATATATATAATTATTAAAATACTATTTCTAAATCTATTTTTTTTCAATTTACAGCTGGATTAATGTGTGGCAACAATGTAATAGACAATTTTTCAAAATTCCAAACATAAATTCTCTATGAACAATACATGAAAAATCAAACAACAGCAATTTTCACCTCAATCTCTACTAATATTTGAATTAGTTTGAAAAGAACTAAATTATATTGTATTTGATACAATTATGAGATACAATAAAATCAATTTTTATTGAATGTATTTGTATTATTAATTTAAAAAATTGTTTAAAAAACTAGTAGGTTTGTTTTTCCAATACAATCCCATATGAAATTACAAAACATTTTTTTATTTAGTTTTTCCGTAAAATGTTATTTTTACCAATTATACTTTTTCTTTTCCCTTTTCTTTTTTTCTTCAATCCTTTTCCTTTTTCATTTCTAGTGATTTTTTGAATGTATCCATAATATATTGGTAATAGTTACTATGATTATGATTTTATAAATTATAAAAGATATTTAAACTCGGCTATTAAATGTATTTAATTAAGCAACAATAAATATATGTTCGATCTACTTCAGAAATTAATATTCGAAAAAATAGTTTTTTTTTATTTTATGATATATCAGAATTATAGATCAATCCTGTTTTCCCTAAATTTCAATCACGTGATATTGTGTACTTCCTTACTCGATTTTTTACATGAAATATAGTATCTTAAAGTTAGCATAATTCTAACAAAATTACTATTGGATAAATAGATTATAATATTGATATTGATATAAATTTTAAAATAGACACGTGCTTATCTTAATAAATATAAAAATATAATGTATTATTTCAATCCTTTAACTCAGGTTAGTTTAATTGGACGATCTGCTGCATCGTACATTTGGGGATCAATTGCAACAGTAAGTTCAATAATAAAGATTTATATTTTATCACGTTTAAACGTTTTGAAATTAATGCCAGAACGATAATATTTTATTATTTTAGAGATTTTGTTCAAATTTCAATATGTTAGAAGAAGCTATCTATAAAGGCAAAATCCCTTAATAGAATGTGTCGTAAATAATTATAAATGCTTTTATTTGTAATTAGAAAATATAAAATTTGAGATTAAATATGTTCCTAAAACTAGCTAAATTCTACTCAAAATCTAATAATATAACCTAACTCAATCCTTAATAATGTTTTTTTATTAATAATTAGTAATTTATTAATAAAAAAAAATTGCATTTTAATTTTTTTTCATTGCTTCGATTTTATCTAATTGATAAATTTAGATTTAATTTGTGGATATAATTAGGATTGAATTAAGTTTGAATTACATATTTAACCTTAAATTTTATACTTTCTAATTACAATCAAATGTATTTATAATTTTTTACGACACTTCTTTTTATGATTATTTTCTTAAATAGCGCTTTTCAACATTAATATTTGAATAAGATTTGTGGTATCAACTAAATAGTGAAGTGTTATTAACAGAATTAAAATTATCAAATCATAAATTATAAATTGTTATATTATTTAATAAAAATATAAAAGAACTAATGATATTCTAACATTTATAATGTGTTTTGTTATAAAATTTTTTTGAATATTTCACATTATTTTGCTATCATTTTTATACTACATTGTTTTTAGAATAATTTTAATAAATAAAGAGCAATATGTAGTGGAATTTTTATCTTGTATAATTATAATGTACATAATCATAAATATACATTATTATTTCACGTTTTAATATTTGCAATTTTTATGCACAAATTAATTTTTGTATTTTCAACTTAAATTTTTATATTTATATATAAAAAGTAAATATTTTATCAAACAAAGAATATTGTTTTTAGATACCAGGGAATTTAGGATTAACATCAAAAGCAGAGATACAAATGATGTCACCTTTGTGGAAGTTAGCTGCAAATGCAGGTCCATTTGTTAAAATTGCTGCTTTGAGTGGTGCTGCAGCTGTAACACTTGGGGCTTATGGTTCTCATAGTAAAATTTGAAAAATTGTTAACCTTTTAATACAAAATAAGCATAATATTCTAAAAGTGCATAAAATATTTTGTTTTAATTAATTTAATGAAATAGCTTTTATTAATATTGAAAAAATATGTATACTTAAAAAAACAAATTTTATATTTTTTAGTATAATATTTGGTACGTATGTGAAATAGCTTAATTTATTATTAATTTTAGAATTGTCAGAAAAAGATAAAAAGCAAGTATTTGAAACTGCAAGCCGTTATCATTTTATTCATACATTAGCAATGCTGGGATTACCTTTTTGTAGAGCACGTTACTTGGTATGTTTAACTTTTTAAAAATAATCTCAGTTATGTATATTATTAAATTTATTATTATTGTATTATTGTATTGTATTTAGGCTGCGACGTTTTTAATTTCTGGAATAGTACTGTTCTGTGGAACTTGTTATTATTCTGCATTTACTGGCGATAAAAAATATAATAAACTAACACCAATAGGTGGAATGTGTTTCATAGTAGGATGGTTAAGCATGTGTGTTTAAGATGTCAAGAAATATGGAAATATTACAATGTATGTGAAGAAGTTAATATAAGTAAAAAATTTTTAACTATTGTATACAAAAAATAGCTATGTAAATATTAATTATACTTTGAAATAAACTATTTCTTTATAAATTAAAATCATTTTTAATATTACGAGTACTACTTACGAAATATTGTTGATTAGATAAAATATTTTGTGATGAAGCAACATTTGTATTTTCACTTATTGAAAACTGCTAAAGAAATATGTGATTTAAATAAAAGTAAAACTTGTTTATATACTAACGAATTGATGTAAACATAATTTTTTTTTATATTACTGATATAAGTTTAAATGACATTATTCTATACTATTGTACATTATATTCCTAAATTGTAGTTTGCATACTTTATGAATGACTCTGTATTATATATACGTAACCAGTTAATTATAATTATATAATTTATAATATATTATAATTATATTATTATTATATAATTTATAATATATTATAATTAATTATAATTATATAATTTATAATATATTATAATTATATAAATTATAATTATATAATTCATTGTTACTTGTCTTAGAAATGTAATGTAAAAATATAACATGTTTTACGTTTTATCATAAAGTACGTAAAAATTATGAAGTGTGTTATGAAGTATAAGAAGTATACTTCATAAAAATTATGAAATATATATCAGGTTGTGATTAAATAAATTTTATAATTATGTTAGAAAAAAAAAATCACGAGACAATCATTTCAAAAATTAAAAAGATTATATGTAATACCAATCACTAATTTATCAATTAAATCAGGGGTGGCGAACTGGCGGCCTGCGGTTATGGCCAGTGTCCCTATTTTTTTAATCAGTACGGTGATCTCTTTCATTGCATCAATCTCTAGATTTTAGCTTTAGCTGCTAAAGAAAAAAAAAGATCGGGAAAGTAGCTTGTATGGTCCGTTGCGACGGGACAAACAAAGAATGCACAGAGAGGCAAATTAATTTCCTTGATAAGGTAATCGTAGGCTGAGAGAGTAAGATCATATGGCCCACAGCGGGGAAGTTCGCCACTCCTGGATTAAGTCCCATGTATATAAAAATAAAAATCAAAAAGTGATGTATATATATATTGATCATTTTAAGCAATGGTACACAATATAAATGTAAAACAAATAATCGCGTATTATATTCTTTTTCTACTTGATCAATTCATAATTTTTGTATAGAATCACATTTCTACAGAGTTATAAGAAAGTAATGTACCTTGTATAATCCATTTGATACACCAGCTTCGCTGATTTTTATATCCATTCTATTTCGTATTATACAGTTGTCGTACATGTTTCATAAATAGATACTTTGCCTGTAAATAAGTGGATATTAGAATTTTCTTCGATTCATATATCAGTACGATGACTTGAATACGATGTTGGCTGCATTCTTACACAGCTAAATAAAATATTAATTGGACTATCTTACCTAGAATAAAAATATCAAATAAGTTTAATTAATGATACATTGGATAAACTTAAATATAGGAGTGTTGCACGTCAATTCGCGCAGTGCTCGCATACTGAAAACTAAGCAGCGAACACAAGAGATCGATTAAAAAATTAAAACGATAATCGTAAACACGCAATTATATTCGCAGTTACTGTATTTTTTATGATGATGAAACATGAGTTACATCATTAGGGCATTTTTTTTTCTTTCTTTCATTTATCTTGAGTCGTGATTTCATTGCAAGTTGCAGTGAGGCATGAGATTGGCGATTTATGGCGATGCTAAATGCACCACTGATATAAAATTTACTTATATCTAATAAAGTCCCCTCAGACTATATTATATTTAATTAGTAGAGTTTCGTAGCAATATCATTTTTTTGTTACTATTATATAAAGTATTTATATAGACGCGCATATTAAACTATATTTACAACTTTTTATTAATTATTGTAACACATCAAAGATAAGTTTCCTAGAACAAGGCTGCTTCCACGCTACCTGGTTCATAATACCACAAGAGAAAACTCATATGGTAGAGCTTCAATCATCTTCGCACTTTTTTTGATAAAATATATCACAATCTATATTTATAAGTAAAAAGATAAACATCAAATTAGAATTTATTTAAATGAATTTTCACTAAAATCAAGAAAAAGATATCTTCGAAAAAAGCTTTTATAAAGTGCTGCAAATGTATGATCACTTTCAAACAAAATGCAGCTATTTCTTTAAATATTTGAAATGGTATTTGAAGAATTTTTTTTTTCAACCTGGACAATGCGATAGCAAAAGAGCAAATGGCGCGCCGGTTTTCCATCCGTTTCTAGGAAAGATGGAACGAATGCTGTCCTTCTTGTGCAGCTATTCGCAACTTTTCTCGCATTATCTCTAATGTTGTATAATCAGGCAGTTTTAAGTAATTAACACAAGTCATTACGGATGGTAAGAAATCGTCTGTTTTCATAGATGGATCGAACGTTTTACGCACTATTGTTAACGGTGGTGTTAAACTCTTGAAACCTGTAAAATGATATTTTATTTTTTATATCTTTCAATTTTTTTTTTTTATATTTACATAGAATAGTAAAAACTTACCTCCAACTGGTAACCGAGGAGAACCTGTGACAAATTGAACGAACTGCCTTTGTTCTTCACTGTTGTATTTTGACATAACTTCAAATAGAAAACGGATAGCACGAGAATCTGGTGTATAACCATGATCAGTCCTGCAACACTCCGAAAGCGTTTTCACATCCCATTGTCCACCTGATTGTGCATGTCCACAGAATACAGCTTCAAGTTCTTCAGGGAAGAATAGTCTCAGTTGTGATGGTGGAAATACAGATTCAAATCCTTCCCTAAATGCTTCCATTTGTCTAAAGATACCTTCGTATAAGAACCAATGCACCACCAACTAAAAAATCAATTTTAAATAGTATAAAGTTCATACAAAAAAGATACTAAATATGTTTATTGCATCTTAATATTCAAATCATCATAATAAAAATACCTTGATGTATTGATCTAAATTATAAATGGAAACCGGTATTTCGCCTCCATTTTTCCTTAATTCGATGTTTTCATAACCCGGTAATTCAAAAACAAGGCCAAGATCAGAGATTACACAACCATCTAGATTTAGTGAGTCTATCAGTTTTGCTTTTTCATGTGACCTTAATATTTGATCTTTCTCAATTGTTTCCTTTTGCCTAATAATTTCTTGCAATCTACTAAGTGTTCGATGTACGTCAGGACACACATGTATTAAATCGGCTAATGTTAACATATGTTCTTCTCCCAATAACCAGCGATAAAAAGTTAAACTGAATGGTAAATCCAACTAAAAAATTACATAAAATGTAGCTGGATGGTAGGGTTACAAATCGTAATTTAAACAATAAAATAAATTATACCATTCTTGAATCGTATATCGCTTTTGCCATAAATTTTCCAAGAAACTTAAATTTCGTTTTAAGTTTTGCAAGATGGGAAACTTTAGTATTCCATGGAATCGGCATTGGGAAAAGTCCTTGCGAAACATTAACATATCCTGTCTCGGTCGGATTTGAACTACCATGCCAAAGATCAAGGTCAGCACGCTGTAATTCCTGGGAGACTAGAGCATAAAATTCCAATGTTGGACCAAGACCAGTACCGACCTGCAAAACCAGGTATTAAGAATTATTAAATACCACGAAAATAACGTGAAAAATATTCTATATATGATACAAAAATGTATAATTAAACTATTATATATATAACTTTATATATATATTACATATACATATTATATAAGTACAAAAAATAAACCTCATTGACATATTGCACTTCAAGTAAGGCCTTGCTAGATGCTAAGTCTTGTATAACTAGTTCTGCTTGCTTGAGGATATCAGTTCTAGAAATAGTTCTCTTTCTTCGTTCTAAACGTGGAGTGACGCGTTCCTGACTATCTGATCCCGATAATTCTGGAGCGGAATCTAAAAGACGCTGTAGAGCTCTATCTCGATCGAACGATGTTGCATAAAGCAACAACTGTCTCGTTTCGAATGGGAACAAGAATGGACTACAAACAATTAAAAATATAACAATTGGACAAAATTGCTATTAGTAAATTATTGCGAATTTCATAGTATTTACCATACTGTAGCAATTTGTTGTAACCACAAAGGTAAGTTTCCAGTCATGATCACTAAAGGATCTTGTAGCTGCCGACTAGCTTTTGCGGCTATTTTATTATTAATAAAATCTTGCGGAGACAGTAAACTTAAACCTTTCAGATGAGGAAATAGAACACCCCAATGACGATTTAACGCGTGTAAAAGACGTAATAAACATAAACCGTCCAATGAAGCATCAGTAATGGTAACTGAAGATGGCAAGGTGGGTAACAAATAAGGATCAAGAGGACATCGTTGTGCAGGGACTATTCCTTCAAGCCATAAACTATCCTCTTTCCGTTTTGAACTGATCTTTGTACTTTTTCCTTTGCCTTTGCGACTACTACCCTGTGAACTTGATCCTGGTTTTGGCGACGTTGCTGTTTCTTCTTCGGGTACAGGTCTAAACAGATTAAATTATTTAAATTATTTTTCTTATTTTCATTAAAGACAAAATTAAAAATTGAAAATACCTGTAATAAATTGTGTGAGTCTGTACCCATACAGCATCGTGACCAAGTGGAGGTTCACCATCAGCTTCTGCTTCAGAATGATCCATTCCAGTACAACCAAATTGCCTAACAGCTTGATAAACAGTCATATTAAAAGGCAGTACTTCATCTCCAATTAAGAACTGGAGTTTATGTTTCGCTGATCCTTGGCTTATAACCACTGCTGCCTATAATGTTAAATATATTCCAGATATCATTATTTATTACTTATTAATTTGAAAAAATGTAAAATTATATTATATTAACTTAAAATAATGTGTATATATATATATATGTATATATACATATATATACACATAAATATTACCAATGTATCATCTATATCATCTTCACTGTTATCGTCGTCACTAACCATAGATTCAGCCTCTCGTATTCTACCATATCCACGAACCATTAAATAACGTTCAATTGCTTGTACTAATGCAAGAGGATCTATTTTAACAGTGCCTCCTTTCCACTGTTTTAAGTTGTTACAATCTGGATGTCGTTGAAGATTACACTACAAAATCATAAAAAATTAATTTGAATTATTACTATTATTCAAGTTGAACGCTATTATTATTTTTGAAAATTAAATACTGTACCTTGAGTTGATGTGTATTAAAAAATTTGAGAGCACTAGTACCTCCGCGACCAGCACCAGATCCCGCTGGTAAATCATGTACTTTTACAGGAAATTGTTCCAATTGTGCTACACAACTATTTAATTTGGTTACTAGAGCACCAAATGCTCCAGGGCTAAGATCGGTAATATTATTATCTTCACACATCTAAAAATTAAATATTTATAAAAACAATATTCTTCGAAAGAATCTAACCTAATTAGATTTATAAAAATAATTATTTATTTTGTACAACTCACAGTTGACTCTGCAAACAATTTCCAAAACATACGAAGACGATCATAACGATTACCAGGGGCATCTGTAGTTGTGAGGTAGTTGAGCAGAGCTTTGATGAGACCGCTATAATTCATCTCAAACGGAGATATATCACTTTCTAGTACTATATCTCGTAATTCAGTAAGTGCTGATAACATTTCATCCAATTCCTATGGATTTATTTCCCATTTTTTAATATTAAATATTGCATATT